AAATAGGATAGATATACAGCTACTGTCGCTTAATTCAATAAGAAGAAAGAGATGTACTTATAGTGTTTGGACAGGATATCCTGTCTGCTTCTTGTATTATGGTTAACCACTAAGAAGATAACAATGTACAATATATTGACTACCGAAACTGTCCTATTAATCAGCTTTGAAACTGTCTCATTCATGTTTCTCAATAAAATAAAAATAAAATAAAAATAAATGACCTGAAAAAATAAAAAAAAAAACAAACCGAGATACCCTTTGCCTGACTGACTCTGCCCAAGCAGGTACTTTCAACAACTAAGCTAACCCACAAGCCCCCATCCTTTTTTTTTGCCCCCAGAACTGGTAATTGAACTCAGGCCCTTGCACCTGCCAGGCAAGCACTTATTCAACTGAGCTATCTCCCTGGCCCCCTAAGCCCCCATCTTTATAATGTTTATGCTTAATAGAAAACAGAATTCTCTCCTGATACAATTACAAATGTGTTTTGGTTGAGGAATATGAAAAAATCTAACTTCATATCAACTGTTAGTTAGAAAAGATAAGAGAGTTTCAATGATTTTGTCAATAACAGTGCATAGCTACTGATACAACAGCAAAACTCAACACGTTGTAATTTCTTAAAAGTTATCCCCATGTACAACCTGGACTTCGTATATTCTGTTAATATTAAAATCTATCGGTAGGGCTGGTGAGATGGCTCAGTGGTCTAAAGCACCTACTTAGAACAAGCTTAGCAAAGCACAGGGACCGCGGTTCAATCCCCCAGCACCACATGCCAGCCAGCCCCGCCCCCTGGTGGGCTGAGCTGGCCACACACACACACACACACACACACACAAATAAATAAAAATTTAAAAATAAAATAAAATCTATTGGTAAAGTGCCAGGTGTGGGAACTCATGAAGCCAACCTGGGCTACCCAGACACTTCAAGGTCAGAGTATGTTATTCTGCAAGATCCTGTGTTAAGCAGAACAAAATATAACCCACTACTGGTCTGTCTTGCACTCTGAATGGCTCTTGTACCCATGCACAATTTTGTACAATTTTATAACCAAAACTCTGCCCATATTGGGGAGATATTTTGTACAATTTTATTTTCATGAGAAAGTTCAAATGTTGATCACTCACAGCAAATAATGTCAGTCATTTTCCTTAAAGTGGGTTAGATATGAGGATTACACAGTTTGAAACAAAAAATATATCTACATACTACGATATGTATCCCTGACAATTTAAATTCTTTAATGAATACACCTATTTCTCAGTTCAGAAAAATCATTTGTATTAATGATAAATTTGTTCAAATTTAACTTCTGAAACCATTAATCTGTTTCAAATTAGATTTTTTTAACACTAAGAATCAAACTCAGGACCTTGCACTTGGCAGGCAGACATTTATACCACTGAGCTATATCCTAGGACCTCAAGCATGATTTTTTTTTTTAGTTTTATTTATTTGTGTGTGTGTGTGTGTGTGTGTGTGTGTGTGTGTGTGTGTGGTGTGTGTGGCCAGCTCAGCCCATCAGGGGGCGGGGCTAGCTGGCATGTGGTGCTGGGGGATTGAACAGCGGTCCCTGATACTTTGCTAAGCTTGTTCTAAGTAGGTGCTTTAGACCACTGAGCCATTTCACCAGCCCCAATATATCACATTCTTTTTTTTGTTTTTTTTGTTTTTTTTTTGCGGAACTGGGGATTGAACTCAGGCCTTTGCACTTGCCAGGGAAGTGCTTATTCCACTGAGCCATCTCCCTGGCAAGCATGATTTTTTTAAAACAGTATTATTCCTGTTTTTCTGATATTACAAACTATATACGACATATATTTTTATGATATAACAAAAGTAGTCTGGAAAAAAATCTAAATAACCGTGTACCATATAAAATGAAGTCTAAAAAAATAAAAAATAAATAAATAAAATAAAATGGAGTCTAGGGCCAGCCAAGTAGCTTAACGGATTAAAGCACCTGCTTAGGCAGATGCAGGAGTTGGAGGTTCAGTCTGTGGCCTGCCATGTCGTGCTGGCCGTGCCTGCCCTGCCCCACCCCTGGGGTGCCTGAGGAGGCAATTGAGGCTGGGCGTGATGGCACACGCCTGTAATCCCAGTGCTTGGGAAGCTGAAAACAAGAGAATCACTGCAAGTCTGATTTAGGCAGTGAGACCCTGTAGACCCTGCACTAAATACATAAATAAGTAAATAAATAAAATGAAGTCCATATTTTTTTAAAAAAACCTTTATATACTTCGTATAAAATAAAACTTGGATACAGTAGTGCACAACTTTAGTCCCAGCTGCTCAGAAAACTGAAACAGGAGGATGCCAAATCTGAGGCCAGCCTGCATGATTTAGGAAGAATCTCTCAAAAAATAAATTAATAAAGGCTCAGGGATATTGCTTAGTGCAGAGGAGGCCTGAGTTTTCCTCTCCAATGGCACAAAAATAAAACAAAAACAAAAGAAACAAATAACCAAATGGTCTTAAAATTTAAATCTAGCCAGGCATGGTGGCATACTCTTGTAATTGCAGCACTGGGGAAGCTAAAACCCAGTTTGAGTTTGAGACCAGTGTAGGCTCCATAGTGAATTCAACCCCATCCTGACCTACACAGCAAGATCCTGTCTCAGAATAACCCTCCCAAAATTTTTTGTTTAAATCAAATCAGGTGTGGTGGCGCATGCCTATAATCCCAGCTCTCTGGTATGCTAGGACAGTAAGACTGTAAACATCACCAATCTGGGCAATTTAGTGACTTAGCAAGACCTTGTTTCTTTTTTTTTTTTTTTGGCGGAACCAGGGATTGAACTCAAGTCCCTGCGCTTGCCAGGCAAGTGCATATTCCACTGAGCTATCTCCCTGGCCCCTAGACCTTGTTTCAAAACAAATATAACGCCTGAAAATGCAGCTCAGTACACAGGCCCTAGGCTCAATCCCAAGCATGGCAAAAAGTAACAATGAAAAGGCCTACCTTCCCTGTTTATACTTGGGTTTTTGTTTTTGTTTTTTTGGTAGAACAAGGGATTGAACTCAGGCCCTTGCACTTGGCAAGCCAGGCAAGCACTTATTCTACTGGTCTATCTTCCCCAACCCTTAGCTTAACATTTTTAAATTCATTTTTTACTTGGTTCTATTTCTGAACATTAGCAACAAGAGAGCTGAAACAAAAGATTAATGTACACCTAAAATATTCCTAACTAGCTCAATATTTTGGCTGGTCTTTGTCTTACCTGCTGAACAATATGAGAAATATGAGCTCCCTGAACTGCTGCAGCAGGTTGAGTTGAAGTCTCTGAAGTGTTATTCTTGTGAGAATCTTCCATAATCAACTGGAATAGAAAAAGTTAAAAGGTGATACACAATATTTATCACAGTACATAAAACCATGTAAAAACTGATCAAAAGCTGCATATGGTGGTGCCCACCTGCAACCCCAGCACTCAGGAGGCTGAAGCAAGAGGACTGACGTGAGACCAATCTGGACAACACAGTGAATTCAATGGCAGCCTGAACTATAAAGTGAGACCATATCTCAAAAAAATAAAATAAAAATAAATTTATCACTTGGTTGCATCCATAGAAGGGATGGTATAAAGACAGAAAAGAGACTTTTTCTTACATACTGTTTTACCTTTTTTGAGACAGGTTCTCACTATGCAGCTCAGGCAGGCCTTGTGCTCACTTTGTAACCCAGGCTGGTCTCAAACTCTCCACAATCCTGCCCCTATCCCCCAAATGCTGGGATTGTAAGGGTGAACCACCGTGCCCGGCTTATTTTACATTTTTTGAAAATTAAAAAAAAAAAAAAAAAAAAACCACTGGGCAGTATTGGTGAGTTTGAATCCAGGCAACACTTTTTATTTTTTTGAAACACTGAGACTGGCTCTTGCTAAACTGCACAGTCTGGCCTTATACTTTACTTATTGCCCTCCTACCTCAGTTTCTCAAGTAACTGTATCATAAGCATGTGTACTGTGCTCAACAATTCTTTCCTTTTATCCTTTTTTCTTTTTTTTTTGTCTTCTTTGTGAGAGGGTTTCCCTATGTAGTTTGGGCTGGCCCTTAAACTCACTTTGTAGAACCCAAGCTGTTCTCCTTTGCAACTCCTGCCTCAATCTTCAAGAGCTGGGATTATAGGCATGTGCCTCCACACCCAGCTAATCTTTTGAATTCTAACATAATCAAAAACATGTTTAAGGGGGCCAGGAAGATGGCTCAGTGGAATAAGTTCCTCCCCTGGCAAGTGCAAGGGCCTGAGTTCAATCCCCAGTTCCACAAAAAAACAAACAAAAAAACATGTTTAGGGCCCGGGAGGTGGCCCAGTGGAAGAAGCACTTCCCTGGCAAGTGCAATAGCCTGAGTTCAATCCCCGGTTCCACCAAAACAAAACAAAACAAAAAAAACATGTTTAATCACACATATCTATAGAAATTGTTACAAATAAATGTT